GTTTAGGGAACTAAACATTTAATTAGCCAAGTTACCCTTTAAGTTTAATTTGGCTCTCTATTATTCATAATGCCTTCCCAGCGTTAACTGTTTGCTCATTCACGTTACAAACCCTGAGCCCAGCAGAGATTTAATTCAATACATCAAACACTTACTGAGAGGTTTCTAAAGGTCAAGCCTAATACTAGACCCTGGGGACATAAAAACACAAAACAAAACAAAACATGTTTTCATAAATGTATGTCAGCATTTACACACATAATCATAGAAAAAGAAAACTAGGTTAATAATAACCGACAAGTTTACTAGTGGTTATGTCTGGATGGTGGGATAATGAAATAATTTCCACTTCCTCTTTTCTATTTTTCTGAATCCAAACCTTTTTAATATGAGGATACGTTACTCTCATAACTATTAAAAAACAAAAATAAACACTAAAGCTCCTTCTATGGGACAAGATGAAAGGGAAATAAAGACAGCCTCACTGTGTATTTGTTCTACTTCACAAATGCATTTTTACCATAATAAAACAAAAATTTGTTTTCTTCTAAAAAAAAAAGGGCGCGATTATTATTATCAGAAACAATTCTGAGCATCTGAGATCTTATCTGACAACGACTGTGACCTGACCAATCAAATTAAGTGGTCAAAATCTATTTGTCTCAGGTAAGTAGTCACTAGGCCATAAAAAGAGTCCTTGAGTTTAAAAATACTATTTGTAATGTTAGATAATTTAGAGGCTCCAAAGCTCACTGGGGAATAATAAATGCCAGTTGTGAACTAGAAATAAAAAGGTTTCATTCAAAGAAGTAGAGAAAATGGATCACTGGAACTCATGCATTTAATTTCATTTGTTAGTTTTGTTTTGTTTCAGTAGATACAAGTGAAAAATGAGTTTCTGCAATATGCCTTGGATACTTAAACTTATGTTAGAAGTCTGGGTAAATATAATGATCCTCAAAGAAATAAACTGAAAACCACAAAACAAATATTTATAACCAAATGCTCAACCGCAGTAGTACCAATGAACTTCCTCTCTAACGAGCCCGGATTAGTAGCTGCAAACTCAAGTTAAAAAGTGTGAATCACTCACTGGTAAATCACCTTTAAGGTTACGTTTATCAGGAAGATTTGTTTATGCTACTCATATATATAATTGCCACTCATAAATTTCAATCAATCACGATCACCCATTTCAAAGGTCACTAAAATCTCAGACAGTTAACCAGCTCCAGATTGTTCCAAAAATAATTTTCTCCACTCTTAAATTGATAATAAAAATGCAATTCTGGTTTTGGAGGAGGAGTAAAAGGGAGAATGGGGTTTCTACATAAGTTAAGGAAACTGTGTGCTGTCTCTTTTAACCTCCAACCTACAGCCCTTTACTTTCCCTTTACTTACACTTTCCATCTGTCAACAAGTGCTTGTAATTTTATTACAGTGTCCTGTAGTTTATGCAGAGTTGGTATTATTTTACAGAGTTCTGTTAATGGACTGGATAAATGGTAATGCTATTTAAACTAGTCTCCTGCTCCAACAAACACAGCTGCAACTGTACTACTATTTCTGAGCAAACATCTTGACCTGAACATGTAGTGCTTTCTCAACCCGTCCAAAGAGAAATTGGAGCAGACAGCAAAGGAAAAGCATATTTGGCCGCTAGCAGCAATCAACCGTGTCAAATCATAATTCATATACAGTGTACCCTCTTTTTCTTTTATATTGCATTTAGAGTCCAAAAAAAGCATGTGTGCTTCTTCACCCGGCATCTCATTTTCAGCCAGGAGTCAAATGGTGATTATTCGTTAAAAAGTGCGAAGAAAATCTGCATAATGTCCAGTACATCGGACTAATTTTAATCTAAGTAAATAATGATAAAAATCAGACATCAGTATAGTATGAGCTACCCATTAAATAACCTAGTAAACTTCTTCACTGGTTATATACTAGGATAACAAGTGTTAAATAAGGTTAAAATATTAACTGATACAGTAAGTTAGAAAAAGAAACAGATACTAATGAGAATTATGCAACAACTGATAAAGAGAAAATGAATTATAAATTTGTTTCACGAATTCTAGATGTGTCTGTCTCTACTACATTATCTAGCAGGGCAATTATGGATTGCTTAATTTGTATATGCAACAACCAGCCAAATACCTTCCCTGCCCCAACATATTTTCTTTATTATTTATCAGAAGTCCTTTGTTCTGTCACTTAGCCTTCTTGTGAAAGATTCATTTTTCCTTTTTTTAATTTTTTTTAAAGATTTTATTTATTTATTTGTCAGAGAGAGAGAGAGAGAGAGCACAAGCAGGGGGAGTGGCAGGCAGAGGGAGAAGCAGACTCCCCACTGAGCAAGGAGCCCGATGCCGGACTTGATCCCAGGACCCTGGGATCATGACCGGAGCCAAAGGCAGCCGCTTAACCGACTGAGCCACGCAGGCATCCCAGAAAGATTCATTTTTCAATGAACATTTTAGAAGACACTTTTGTTTGTAGATTTATGCACATTTTTCCATCTGTTAGAACATTTGTTTCGGGTGAACTACTAGGCACCTATATCACGTGAAGAAAAATCTGAACTTGAATCCTTCCTCAGGCAGTTAGGCTCCCAAGCTTTTGTTCCTTTATTTATCAAACACATTTAATGGTGGTTTTTTAATCCAATTAATTAATCCAATTAATCATAAAAAAGTGGTCACATGTAGTTTATAACTTATCCTCTCAAGAGAAGTATCATTGGTAACAATTCACTAAATCTAATTCAGGTGGGACAACAGTGCCTCGACTCAAAAGAAGATTCCTGACATGAGGATGCAGAAAAAAATTACACCACTATGTTTCACATGTATTTAGTGCTTATGTCAGGTGTTAATTCCCAGTCAATATTAACATTAAGCCATCAATCTGTAACTTTAGGAACATCAAAGCATTCGAGTCCCTCTCGCCACTAACCCTAAGAAATAAAACTTTATCTTGCAAAACTACCCAGAGGAAATCATTTGAGCCAAACAGGTAAATCATAACTCTGAATGCATTTTCTAGCTGCCCATTTTCCCATTTTTTTACATGCTTTTAATTAAGTAGAAAATATTGCCTGAGAGTTTTATGGGTTCTATTTCTTTAATTTACTTCTTGAAGATGTTAGTTCTCTTTTCACACAGTGGCTTCCTAAAGTTACAAAATCACAACAAAATAAAAGAGGAAATCTGTTGGTACACTATGTGATATTGTCTAAGAGGAAAAAATGGTCAACAGAATATAATTTGCTGATAAGAGAATTCTGCACTGGATTATACCACCTGAAGCCTCCTAAGAAAATTAATCCAAGTACTTCTAGACTAAAAATCACATATTCTTGTTCCACAGAGACAGTGTAGAAGTTAATTTTCCCTTCTTTAGTGTAATACTTTTAATTGTAGGTGACATTCATTTAAGTTATATTTTCATAGCTACATAGAAAATGGAAAATTACCTAAACTGGTGTGGATTGCTTTTATATGGACACTATTAGCAAAGTGGTAGTTTCATATGCCTCATTGTACACTAGGCTTCAGTCTCCTCAATCACAAAAACTTAAAGCACAAAGTAGAATGACTCTTAAAACCATCTCTATGGTCCTTCTTGGAAACTAAGCAGAAATATTTAAATATAAGTATCAACTTAAATACATACATATAATCTTCATAATAGCCTAGATCCTATTTCCTTGGTCAAAACAGTCCTTACAGAATTCCTACTTAAAGTCAATCTTCAGGTTTCTTTTTTTGATTTTTTTTTTTTTTTAATTTACTTAAATTGAGCCAGTTAACCAGCAGGGAGCACAAAAAGAAATCCTGCCAGGTGACTTTGGCTCTCCTTAGAGGAACAGTACCAGGAAGGTCAAACTCTAGAGAGGAGATGGCGTGTGTTAGCTGGCTGCACATTTGCCCACTGGGACGGTTCTGTCTATAGTGAGCTAAGGCATCAGGAGGACCTAACAAAGATCCTGGCCACAAGGCAGGGAGGGCTCCGAGAGAACAGTCCTCCTCTTTCTGGAACTGATAACAACAATATTGAGCTAACAGGCTACGATGAAGCCAAGTTCGGAAAAAAGCAATGTACTCACTTTCCCTACAGACATGAAGCTACAGGACATCCCCATCATCCCTGTGGGAGCCGTGCTGAGCAATTTATTCTGTATATCCCAACAGTTTTGTCACAACGTCCATGAATGTCAATAATCATTGTTATTTATTTTTCCAACACTTTGTAGCTTATCTCCCATCTGCACAAAATCATTCATATGGTGGAAAATCTCATTTTAAAAGCTTCTGAAAATGTGTTTACACTATCACATATTAGGTCAGAGAACAAGCATTCCAGGGGGGAAAAACTAATTCTGCCTAAAACCCACATTATGCTCCTTCCAAAGAAGTACTTCCGTTAACAGTCTAGGACGTATTTGTTGGGAAACCTTTACAGTCACTCCTATTGCAGAGTTTGGAACTCTGGCTTTAAAGGGAACATTTAAGAGGAAATTTACAGCCCTCTTTAAATACCTTATAATAATATTTCCAGACTAATAAACACCACCCCAGTACAGAAACAATGTCAAGAAAGCTGACATTAAGAACCCTAACTTTCCAAGAAAACATCGTCAACTTCCTCTGAAGAGGAAGTACAGTGGCAATTTTCCCCTTCAGAACTTAATCAGAAGTTTCCGTAAAAAAATATGGTAAATCTCCTCATTATCACATAACCCAGAAAGAATAATACAATTACAATGACACATACATAAACCACTAAATGCTAACCAAATAAAACAACAGGAACCACTGGAAAACCAATCATAAATTTCCGTAAGACAAAAAAAAAAAAAAAACTAGGCAAACTTTTAATCCATTAATCTATCAGTGAATAGATTCCAGAAAAGCCCAAGGAAACAGATCCAGAATACATTTAATAAAATACAAGGTACTACCCAAAGCAACAATAACTATTTCTGTCTTACTTACAGCCTATACAGCTTCGAAGTCCCAAGAAACAGCAACTCAGGAAACAGCTGAAGGTGATTTCTGTTTAAACGCCTTTGGAGAAAAACAAAAACAAAACGTATGTTACACAGAAAATACCCAACAATGAGTCTGTGATTTGGTCGTGTCATGCCTCATCCTGTATTTCGGGAAAGAAAGAAATGACATTCAAAAGAATTCAAGCATTGCAAATCAAAAGTTGGTTACACCTTTTGTTACCTGACTCTTTAAAGCAATTTTCCATTACGCTTACTCAGATGATTCCCCGGGGCCTAAACCCTAACCTCCTGTCCTGTGCAACATCAGTCATCCAGAATATACACAATGAAAAAGGATGTCTTGACGAGACTGTGGTGTCTAGGTCAGGCCAGTGCTGTACACAGTAAACGGTGCCCTAAAATAATTCACACGCTGTCCCAGATGACCTAAATTTTCAGCCAAGGCATAGTGGGGAAGATGGAAATTTTAATTTTGTTAGCATCTTGCTTAGTTGTGGGAAGAAAGTGTGAAAAAGTGTCAGCACGATTTGTCCCTATGGGCGAAAGCAGAGAAAAACTGCAAACTCCAAACCTAAACCCACAGTTCTTAACCCTTCACTGAAAATACGGCTAGGTTGTAACCAATCATGGGGGCTAAAAATGTTTAGATAATGCTTTTTTAAATGTTTATCTGATGTGAAGTTAAATGTAGAGTTTAGGGGAAAAAAAAAAAAACGTGATTGCAACCCTAACTCGATTAAGCTGTGATGCCATGTAACTAAGTTCTTCTGGAGCATGCATGCTTGTTTAACAGTGGGTAGATTCTGGCGCCTATGTACTAATCTCCCAACCCCACTCATTTTAAGTGGACAATTTAACACTTCAGTAAAAATAAATGTCCATCTCTCTGCTTTTCCCAAATTTGAATAAAATAATGACAAGCTGGTGCAAAAATGTACATTTAAGTGATTTACAGGGCACTATAGCTGTAGATGAGAGTAAGAAAGTCCAGAAAACTAATGTCACTTTGAGGAAACTACAGGTATTTCTTGAGTCTTAAATATAAATGTTAAGAGGACAGGAAAAGAAGACATATCAATCTTGACATACATAAACGGTCACCAGATAGGAGCAAAATTACACTTATTTAATATGCAGAGGGCAGAAATGGCACTAGTGATTATAAAACTCTTTAAAAAAGTAGATGATACGGGAGACCTTTCTAAGAATTAGAGAATTTCCAAGGATTAGAAGAAATGGAATGATCTGCCTTGAGAAACTCTAAACTCTATTCCACTTATATTCAAGCAGAGGCTTTCTGTTTTGTTTGTTTGGGTGTTTTTCCTGCAAAGGACATAATAAAAGAAATCCTGCATTAGGTGAAAAATTGCACCAGGTGAACTCCAGAACTTCTTCTAACTCCAAAATGCCATGAGGCAATGATGAAAACTGTAACTTTCACTATACATAAACTTGTATTATGAAGAAGTTGATCACCTACAGAAACATTCTCAACACAATAAAATGCACACTCATAAAAAAGTATGCCAAGACAATTAGGGGGAAAATAATAAAATTAGTGGTGAAAGGGTGGAATTTCTTCCCACTTACACTAATTTTTATAAATAAAGCATATAACAAGGTTAAGTTTAAAGTGAAACCAAAAGCTATTACTCATTTATTTTTCTCTGCTGGGCATGGAAAAAGGAAGGAGTACTTCTGAGGAAGGAGTACTTCCAGAATCTACTATTATACAATTTTGATAAAATGCAACTTAATTATGACCTTGTTACATTTTTCTCACAAAAAATCAACTACAAATATTCAATATTTGTAGCAATTAGAATTTTTCCAGGGAAGCAACTACTCTTGTTAAGACTCCCATTATTCAAAGGGCCAATCTCGATTTCTAAAACGGCAACATGGGCTATTGTAATCTCACCCAAACCACTGGACTAACAAATATCCTCCAGGATTCTCCAGCCACAACCAGGATGCTCCTTCAAGCCCCTAGTCCCTGCTGTTTGGGGAGCTTTGCTTTTTCAGATGGTACTTTCTTACATCTTATGTGAAGCTTCCCTGATTCCCCTACACAGAGGTAGTTCCTCCCTTGGCTCTATCCCCATACCACCATGGCATTTGATAAATAAGGGCCCTTAACATTGTATTGTATTTATTCACATACCCGTCTGTTTCCCAGTAGACTGTCTCTTCAAGTATAAAGACCAAATCTTTGTATCCTTTCCCTTATTCTCTGGCACTCAGTGGGTTCTTAGGAAATGCTAAATGAGAGCATACTTCTCTTTTTGCATTTTGATATAGTTCAGCAAAACACTAGCATATGCATTTTATATTCAGCCAACTTTCCTCTGGGTTGATTTCTGAGGTTCCTGCCTTAGTTTTTATGCCACTCTCTAGCTAACCAAAGCCCCACCACCAAACTTGCTTTCATGTGCCCTATACAGCAATTACCCCTTTTCCCTCCCATCAACCTCCCTCCCCCTGCTACCCTCAACATCATCTAGAAGTTGGAAGGAATCCAGGATGTCTAAACAAATTCAGAGATCCTGAGAAATAGATATTTCGGATTGGGTACAAGCAGTGTCTTTTTCTTAATTCTTCCTTTCAAATTCCCAGCCATTCTTAATTCAATCTAAGAGCAATAGCTAACATATACTAAGCTACTACATGATGATCACTGTTCTGAGAGGTTCGCATGAATTATCTCACTCATTCTTCAGAACGAACCCCAACAGTAGGTACTGTTGTTACTGCCATCCCGGAGAGTGGTACACAGCTCATAGAAAGTAGAGCTAAACTGAATTCAGGTAGGGTGATTCGAGAACGTATCCTCTGAATCACTTCTATCAAAGAGAAACACACCAAACATTTCTAAACATTAATTCAAAATAATGTAATACTGAAATTGTACTTCTCGTCAATCTTTCCTTGGGAAAAACATAGCTTTATAGAGTCTATTTCTTTAATATCTATGAATGAACCACTTGAAAATAAAACAATTTTTTTTAAAAAAACGAACTCGATATTCAACTCACTGTTTTAAAGTTCTGTTTAAAATGCCTCAAGTTTGAGAGAAAAATGAAAATGTGTATAAAATCATTTTCTCTGAATTCAGGTAATTTATCATTTCATGAAAATTATTGTGAATGATCTTAACATTGTCGAAACCAAACAGGAGCATACAGGGTAGTATACTAGAAAGGCAGATAATAAGTGATGTGATAACATGCATAGAAAAACAGTACGAAGCTTTTTCCCCTATAAACGAGTATCAGTACACTTGGGGTTCCTGTTCTTTCTTCCATCAGTGCTAAGAATAAATGGAAATGCAAACATTAAAATAAAAGGTGAAATTCTCCCAAAATATTCAATGAAGGGAAAAATTTTAAAGCAGGGATTTCTTGTAAAATGACCAGAAATTAAATTCTTAAGTTAAAGAGGAATTTTTTAAAATCCAGAATTATTTTAAAGACCACTAAGGTGCATAACAATTTCTAAACAGGGCTGGAAAATAAATAACCTAGCTAGCATCTTCGAATGACACAGAATACTTCTCAGTAGCTTGACGAGGACAGTGCCGTAATAATCCTCATGTAAATGAGTTAAAGAAACTAAAATCTGATGGTCCCAGAACAGAAAAACTGCATGTAGTGAACTAAATGTATCTCTGAGGAGGATTTATGGGAGCCAGCCTAAATTGGCTCCATTAAGCTGACCAGGTGGGTCAGTTACCTATTGTTCAGAGCAAGGACACTCCATTGTGTCAAAGGAAAGACAGTCACATGTAGCCCTTGAGCCATCACCAGCTAGATGGAATCTGCCCACAAGATCTCAGGGCTAACTGAGATCCTCTGGATGGCAATTCAGAACTTCAGAAAGGTGTGTCAAGTGTATCTCAAAGACATTTTTTCTTAGGGCAAAGATGACAGGATCCCAATAACCATTTCCTCTGTGTTACAGCTATTTTTGAGTGTGACTTTCAGTGGGATGAAGGATCTTCCTGTGTCACACAAAACACCACTGGCCTCTGAAATGCTGATTCTTAACCTCAATGCAAAAGGCAGCCTAAGCATCATTGACAAGCATTGCTTTAAATGATCTGTCAGTGGCTTCTGTGTCTTGTCCATTGGTAAAAGTGACAGTCTCTTATTTTTTCAACTTTTACCTCAATTCAATGAGTATGTGCAGCCTTCAACCCAATTCAAAATGTAAAATGGAAACAATTTTTCCTGTTGTTGTGAATGTTAAGTATTTTAGCAGTGTGCCCAGTCTGTAATAAGCATTCAGTAAATACTGCCTTCATGGGCTTATCATGTACAAGCTCCTATTTGTCATACAAAAATGCCTTCTTGGGGCGCCTGGGTGGCTCCGCCGTTAAGCGTCTGCCTTCCGCTCAGGTCATGATCCCAGGGTCCTGGGATGGAGTCCCGCATCATGCTCCCTGCTCGGCGGGGAGCCTGCTTCTCCTTCTCCCACTCCCCCTGCTTGTGTTCCTCCTCTCTAACTCTCTCTGTCAAATAAATAAATAAAATCTTTACAAAAATGCCTTCTTTTCAGGTAAACTTCTACTTGTTTTTTCAAATGTTTTTATTCTAACATTTTTACGGCAAAGATTTTTAACATTTATGCATTATTTAGATGGATAAATCAAACTTTTTAGTAAAATATTGCTTCCTCTTCACTCTCCTTACTTGGCATTTCTCTACATCATCAGAGCAATTATGAGAAATACTCTGAAAAAAACTTGAAGGAAGTTTTGTACATTCTTCACATCTCTTCTATTGCCATATGCCATGATAAGAAAATCAGAAGGAAAACGATAGTAAATACGAATGTACAAAAGTCAAATTTATTATGTACACATTTTATTAGCTCAATAAGATAAAGTAATGCCTAAACTGAGCTTTTGAAAAACAGGAGAGTTGAAATGCATGATAATAGTTCTTTAAATGCCAACCATGTGATAAGCATTTTGTGAAACTTTATGTACATTATTTTACTGAACCATGGACTGCCAGTATAATTATCTCTGTTCCAAAGATGAGGAAACAGGTT